GCATGACAAGGTACGGTTGGCCTTCCTGACCACGTCCCCACACTGCCAGCCCATGTTCATCTTGGCATCAATGATGACTCCAAGATCCTTTTCTGCCTCTGCACTGACAAGAGGGGAGTTCCCCAACCTGTAGGTATGGTGCCGGTTGTTCCTCCCCAGATGCATCACTTTGCACTTGTCGGTATTGCCCTTTTCAACCATGTTTTGGGAACCAAGCCAGACTGCAGCAGCTGGGGATCAAGAGACATTGTTCTTGGCTCCAGCATCACACACGGGCTTTGCTTTACCTTGTGCCTGCACTCCATGACTGCAGCGATCGCCCAGGCTTCAGTACACACAGTGCTTCACTGTGCTGATTTCTTTGTGGTTCACCGGTTCTGTCTCAGACTCTGGCAAGCTCCTGATGTGCCTGTACCGATAGCTGGATGACAGCTGAAATAACAAGAAAAGAGAACACATGAGGACGCAGGTGGAAAAATTCCCGGTGGTTTCCCCAACCCGCCCACAAAAAAAGAACATCAAAAACAAGGGAAAAACTTGTTGACATTTTCATTCTGATTAGAAACAACTTTGAATTTTAAAAAGCAGCCCCTGCTTAGCCGATGTGGTTTTAGGCGAGCTGGCTGAATCCCTATGCAACTAGAAAAAAAACAATTCATGTGTGTCCCTTTGATCAGGAAAAAAACCTGATAAATTTGGCTTTTCAGAACTGCTGCTGGAGTAGGAAAAAAATCAGCTGCAAACCCAGCTCTCAGCACCAGGCATCCCCGTGAGCTCTGTTTTACCCCTGATTCAGCTGGGGGTCGATGGTGCAGAGGGCTTGTGCCATCCCCAAAAGGTGGTTGTGGTTGTACCCAAACACATTGCTCCCCTCCTGCGGGAGGAGCATTACCGTGACGGGCGCAATATCCTGCTGAATCAGCTTCTTAAATTCACTTCTGCAAGACATCTCAGCTTTGCCCTCCTTTCTGGAGTTTCCTTGATTGCTGTCAATCAAGTCGGTGATGGCTTTGAGGAATTTAGACATCTCTGAGGGATGGCGCAGGGGGTGCCTGAAAGAAAGGCTAGAGACGGGCCAGGTCAGTACTGCAAATTGATGAAGATCTTAGACCCAGGACTAAATCTGGAGCACTGCCATGGGCTCAGTGGTGGTGAAAATCCAGCCAGCTCCCAGCTGGTCCCTCTCAGACCCCAGAAACAAGCCTCACCAGGCCTCTCCACTAAGCACCAGGATGTCTCCGTATCACAGAGCATCTCGCACCCCAAGGGCATGAAGCTTTTATAACCTGGGTGCAAAATATGTGCAGTGCATCAGCTGAGCACTGTGCTCACCACACTTTGCAGTGCAAAGTGCTCCTGGCCTCTCCCCTCCCCTAGCCCTGGCGCTGCCCCTCCAGTTGTTAAATGTGCAATTCTTTTGTAACCAATAAGCCTGTGGGCAAGGGAGTTTGAGCAGGGGGTTGAATTAGATAGGACTTCCTGAAGTCCTTTCCAGCCCTCATTTTCTATGATTTTCTGTCCCCAGCAGGACAATGGACCCACTGGAAGTGAAGTGACTTGCTCAAGGCCACACACCCAGTCAGTGTCAGAGGTGGGACCAGGACTTGGAGATCCCAACTTTCATCCCTCAGCCCTGCCCTATAGTGATCGCGCTGCTGCCTCCCCCCTGCCAGAAAGAATCAGTCTCCAACTGCCCCCGAAGTGAAACCCCAGGCGCAGACTTACCCCATTCACCAGCAGTTGAGTCAACAGCGGCTCACTGGAGTGGTGAGAGCAGCACGGTGCAGACTCACAGCAAACTCTCTTTGCAAGTAGGTGAAGGACAAGTTTTTCTTCTGGCCAATCCTGCTTTCCCAACTGCTCCACTTTCCAACGCAACCCTCCTTTATTAGCACATATGAAAATGATGTTTGTGGACAACAGCACCCAGGGAGAGGCACAAATAGACCAGTGGCAGAAGGTGCCAGGGCACCCAGGGCAAAAACAGGAGAGGGAGGGAGGTTGCCCCAGTGCAGGGGGTTGCACAGAATACGTAGATCCCAGAGTTGGGGCAAAACAGTATTCCCAGGGCAGTGACCAAATCAAAATATTATGGGGTGAAAATATCTAGTTTGGGTCACAACAAACCAGGACATTTTTCAGCAAATAAAAAAAAGGGACGGGGGTCAGCTCAGAAGGTTTCATTTGACCCCAAAGCAAATGTTTTGCTACATTTATTGCTATTTGGCCAATATGAGCTTCTGAAAAAAAAAACACCCATCACAAAGGGCCATTAAAAATACTGAGATGGAAATTCCAAAATGGAGATATTTCAATTAAAAATTGCAGACAGGCATTGTTTGGTCAAAATGACTTGATGCCCCAAATGTGTGAATTATTTCACTGCTGAAAGGCTATTTTGGCAAGTGCATTAGTCATCACAAAGTGCCACCTAGTGTTATTAAATCCCCCATCGGCCCATACAGACATAGCTGGTGCCTTGGTGTTGTTCTAGCCCCCTGCACAGGGGTGAATCTCATCTTCAGGGAGTCGGACTGTGGTTTACTCCGCTGGCTGCCTAGAAGAGAGAAATCCAGGGTCTATTCAGACTGAAACAACAGCAGCTCCTAATCTAAACATGAAGGCACTTGTACAAGCACACCGAGGCCCAGAACCATCATGCCACTGGTTTGCTTGTGGTCCCACGGGATTACCAGCACTTGAGACATTATTTCACTTCTGTGGGGTTTCAAATCTAAACTCTGCTAGGTGCCATTGTCAGGGGCTTATGGGATGAAAGCACTTGCCTGTGGTGGCAGCAAAAAGCTGGAAACAGGGCACATCTACCCATGTGCCTTAATGCACATTAGCCTATTTTAATGTGCATTAAAGCATCACTAAAAAAAAAGTGCTATTTAGTTCATTTACATTAATATAGGCTAATGAGCATTAAACGTCACTTAAAAACCATGCTCTCTAGTTAATGTGCATTGAGACAGGCTAATGCACATTTTCCTAGTACCTCCCAACAGAGGTACTAGATTTAATATGCTTTAACTAAAGGGCGTTAATGCATGTGTAAATGCACCCACCCAGTCTCAAACACCAGTAGGCAAATACACTCCACCGTCACATTCCCGTATGTTTTAAAACCCTTACAGCTTTGCAGCCGGTCTTATGCTTCTTGCAGGACCTGGCTTGTGACACTGAGGGCCTTGTTACACGGGAACTGTAGACAACTTCTGGAGCTCTTAGCCCTTGGGTTTGGCACTGCTCATCTTGCTTGTTCCACAGAGTAACCTGACTTGCCGAGCTCTGCCTCTTGCTGTGTTGTGACTGGAACCATTTCACCGAAAGGGGGACTCAGTCCAGAGCCCTTGGACATAACAGTGATGCTGGGGTGGCTGGTGACCTCCCTGTCAAGTGGGTGGATGGATGGATGGAGAGGTGAGCAAGAGAGAAAACACTGCCCATATTTTGGAGGTGTTTGAAGCTGAAACATGTTTGGTTTGCAAAATATTTGGGTCAGACAGGACACTGCATTTCATTGCCTTGCTTCCTGTCCCTCATCTGAGGCAAGTCCAGCTACATTTCAAAATGAAAACTAAAGCACATAAAGAAGTTGCACTATGGAAAATGTCTAAACGAAGCATTTCTTCTCCTTCAAAGCCCCCCGACCCCATCTCCCAGCTCTCCCCCATCTCGTTAACCAGCATCTCCTCAAATTCAGGCAGAGTTTCAATCAACTTAAAACTGCTTTTGTGTGTGTGTGAATTAACCATTTCTCCCAACCAATTCACCCTACCATAGTGATGGCAAGAGGCTGATGATTTCAGCCCCAGGATTCAGAGACCAGGAGGAAAAGGAGACTCAAGTTAGCCTCAGGACCATCCACCCAGGGAAGCCACATCTGAAAATCAGAACCTTGAACGCTGGGAATAGGGTACAAATACTAACTTTTTATTTACAGCTCTTTATGGTTTGGGGCATCAGCTCCCTTTCATGGGCAAATGCACAAGTCTCTGCTTCTAGCCTAGGGGATATGATTAGCAGGTGCCCAGCACCGACCCACCCTGGGATGTAGAGTTTAGCGCAAAGGACTAAGGAACCAGGACACCTGGGCTCTATTCTTGCCCCTTTCGTCAGTTCTCAGCATGACATTGAGAAAGCCGATGACACTGAACTGACTCATCTATAAAATGGGCCTAATTAGCCCGACCTCCCAGAAAGGGTGAGGCTCACTTTAATTATCAGCTTCTAGACTTCTCAGAGATCAGAAGTTGCAAAGCAGGGTGAGCTTAGGTTTCACCCAGATACTCAGGGTACTGGTCTGATTTCTTAGCCATGGATTTAGTAGAGGAAGGAAAGCTGGAGCCACTCAGGGCCTGATCCACAATACTGGCAGTTCCCCCTTGGTTCCCACCGCCCCTGGGACACCACATAGGGCTCAATTAGAGTCATCTTTTCACATGAATGTTTGCTATGCACCTTTTCTATCGTGTGGCAAGACACAGGACACCTTTTTGCAGCCCTTTCTCATCCTTTCATTCTCACACAGCCTCAGATCCAGGCTGGGCACACAAGTCAGAGCAGCCTCCAGGCTGCTTTACATCACCGAGCTGGCTAGGGTTTCTGGCCACTGAGGTGTGGGGGTGCACAGCTGCTATTCAGAAACCACAGTTCCTAATGATTTCAGCTGGTTCCAGTGGAAGTCAGGCACCTAAATACCTTTGTGGATCTGGCCCTGAATGTAGGAGTTCTGAAGGATACTAATTCCCCTAGGCTCCTGGAAAAACTTCACCCCATCCACTAGCTAAGAACTGTTGTAATCAACTCCCATCCCACCTGCCCCTTCCTGATATGACCCCTCCTTCTCTCACTCTGGCCATTGCCATGGCCCATTGCAACCACATTGCTTCCCCTCCCCATCTCTTCAGCTAGCAAGAGCATGACTGAAGGATCCAGCGCCGAACCCAAAAGAGTCCCAGCCACTCTGTCAGTGAATCAGTCCTTTAGCACTGGGTCCTGGAGCCTGCACCCCAGGCTTTCCGTGGTGTCACAGGGCAGTGCTGAGCTTCTCCAGACCTGTCCTCAGTGTTTGTAATGCGGCCACATCTTGATGGTCTCACGGATGAGCTTCCCCGGGGAAACGGTGTTGCTGACGTCGCTGTGAGCCATGAGGAGGTAGTCGGAAGCCAGGTACCCACTTTGGATGGCATAGGCGAGCAGGTTCTTCAGGGCTTTCCAGGCAGCTTCATTCGGAGACCGCTCTGCAAGGGGGAGGGATGAGATTTGGCTTGGATGGTTTGCAGAGCTTTTCCCCACAAGCACAGAGCTCTGTGTCCCCCGCCACCCCCTGCCAGGACTCTACTAGGACAGGCCTCGTCCATCAAAAATCTCCACAGCAGTGTCCTCCAACACCACTCCTCAACTGGGACCAGAGGAGTCACCCACACAGCCTTTCAGGTGGGCTAATTAGCACTGCCAGCAAGCCTGTCCCCTGCTAATTAACCCATGGAGGGTGCCAGGCATACACACAGCCTTGCTGCTTCCAGGTGAGGAAGCTGCCTAAGGTCGCTGACCTGGAGCATGGTCAGAGTACCATGCAGATGTGGCCAAGCCTCACCTGCCTCTTCCTGAGCCTGCCTTGCAGAGAGCCGGGGAAGAGGACACAAGACAGAGCCTCTGGTGTGTTTTGGCTGGCATGGCCAAGGACCAGCCCTTCTCCATCGTTCTGGACCCAGAAGCCTACCCCGGCTAGGCTCCCTGTCCTGCTCCCAGAGCAAGGCAGGCTCATCCAGCAGGATTTCCAGGGGGCTCGTGAAGCTGCTTGAAAGTGCTGTGACCTGGAATATGTGACCTCCTGGCTGAACCACCCAACAAAAGCACCGTCACTAAGGAGTGTCATATAACTAGCTGGTTCCTCCATCCCACAGAAAGCTAGAAATGGGTCAGCTGAAATCTAGGACAGGCATGAGGCAAATGGAAATGCCTGAATGGGTAGACGTCCAAAGAAAGTTGCCCCTAATGGATGTCTTGGCTTGCAGGGGCTTCCTGCATGCGGGAAGTGGGTAGGAAAGAGCTCAGGTCAGGGCTAGGCCTGTGGACACTGCAGAGGGGACATCACTAAGGCCATCTCTGTGTTGGTGCAGCAGTCAGCACCAAAGACTCATGATCCACAACTGTAAATGCCCTCTATGCAACTAATTAACAAGAAGACAGGGCTGAATTCTGCCCATGTGTGCTAGGAAGCACCCCAGCCTCACGCTGGCTGTCTGTGCCAGGGCAAACTTCACCCTGAGGTCTGCCAAGTGCCCTGAGATCTTTGCAGAGAGAGTCCAACATCCCTGCAGTAGACTCTTTACTGCTGTGGATAAATACATGTCTGCAATCAGCTCCTGGACTGAGCTGCACTCCATATGCCCTGTGCTGGAGGAGGTGGGTGCTCTGCAACGGTCTTACCTGTAAAGTCGCCAATAAAGGCAATGCCCAGAGATAAATCATTATAGCCATAGGTGTGGGCACCCTCCAAAAGCCAGCCTCGGCCTTCATACACGTTCCCGTCTTCACCAATCAGGAAGCTGGAGGGATGTGAGAGGAAGTGCATGTAATCTATTACTTCCCTTAACTACTAGTAGCAAGGCTAAGCAGAGACAGGGACATACGATCCACAAGGCAAAAATAATAATAATAACAGCAATAATAATAATGCATCACTTATACTGTGAGCAGACAAGGTTCTTTGGGTAGATGTGATATCTTTTATTAGACCAACTAAATAGTTGGAAAAAATGTTCTTTGCAAGCTTTCGGGTAACTAATACTGTTGCATTATGGCATCATCAATGATATTAAAAGGAAAACACTAGCAGCAGTAATAGCATCATCTCCATTATTACTGTTGTCATCATTGTAGCTTTGACAATATTCATTTTCTTTGCAAATTCTTTTGGGAGGTTTTCTGCATCACCTCAGGGTTGTTTAGCAAAGTCCTGGTGGCAGATCGAATAACCTTTTTAATGGCAACTATGAAAAGAGTTGGACCTTTGATCCTATATGGATATTCACTATATATTTTTGGTGACCGGAAAATCATATGCCCACTGTTGTCAAACCTGGGTGTCTGAAAGAGCTGCTCTACCTGCTTCCACATGGAGCTGAGCACCTCAGTCTAGGTAGACAGGTTTGACAGCATTGGTTTATCTTATTCCAGTTTTCCAGGCTTGTTTTCTTCCTTTCAGGAACAAGGAAAAGCAAGAGCTTCTATACAAATAGGGCTTTGCCCACTGGCTGCAGGACTCAGCATGTGCTGAGATGTCCCTGGCTCTGCGTGGACATAACTTGACATGAGCGTACGCGTCCCTGCTAACTGGCATCTCTTACTTGTAGGAGACGTCGCACCACTCCTTCATGTCCCGGTGGAAAACCTGGATGTTGCGCAACAGCTCGCTGCATTCAGGCTGCGTGTGGCAGGCACTGCCAGCCGTGTGGATGATGACGACATTGCCAGGTGGGACTTTGGAGAGAGGGGAAGCACACTTGGCAGGCCGGGACCCCCACTTGGCCGGGGAGACAATGGGCGGACATGCCAATTCTGGGGAGAGGGGAAAAAGGATGAGCCCGAGGATCCATCATGTTGTGCCACTCTGGGGGCAATCCCACCTGCACCCTCTGCTGAAACTCCCACCATGCCCTGGCAAGGCAATTTCCCTTCACGCTGCAGAAGTTCCTCATTATTTAGGGCCTTATTTAGACAGCAGAAGAGAAGACTAAGGAGGGATTGAATAGCAGTCTTCAACTCCCTGAAGCAGGGTTCGAAAGAGGATGGAGCTGGTCTGTTCTCGGCAGTGGCGGATGACAGAACAAGGAGCAATGGGCTCCAGATGCCACAAGGGAAGTAGTGGTTGGATATTAGGAAAAACTTTGTCACTAGGAGGGTAGTAAATAAAACACTGCAACAGGTTACTCAGAGAGGTGGTGGGGTCTCCATCCTTGGAGGTTTTGAAGACCCAGCTAGACAAAGCTCTGTCTGGGTTGATGTAGTTGGGGCTGGTCCTGCTTTGAGCAGGGGGTTGGACTAGCTATGACTTCCTGAGGGCCCTTCCAACCCTCATTTTCGATGACTCTAATTGCCATGCTCAGAAATCCCTCTTCTGCCATGTCGAACAGTCCTTCTATACACTGCCGAGTTATGATCCCCACTATAGCTATAGGGAATCATAAAGCAGAGAGGTGACTTCCCTGGGGTCAAATACTGAAATAATGGTGCCCTGAGAAAAGCATGCATGTCTCCTCACTCCCAGTGCGCTGCTCTCCACCATATCCCGAGTACGCAAAGAGAGGTGAAAGATGGGACTCACGACATGAAGCAGCACAGAGAGCTGAGAAAAGCACAGCCAACCTGAGCATCATGTTGCGCCTCTGGTTAAAATCACCAGTTCAACGGCCTGGAAACAAATACCGTGTTTACGTCAGGAGAAGAAAACAGTGGATGAAGTTTCAAGGATCTAAACTGGTACGGTGAAAAAAAATAGCCATGTGCCCTGTGGTGCGGACACATGGACAGCAGCAGTTCCACCAGGCTTGGACTCACCATTGGCTTTCACACGGGATCCTATCCTACACTTCTGGTGGGCACATCACGCTGTGCAAACAGGCAATACAAGTCCCAAGCACCACTTACAACCTTCCAGATAGGGGCTTAAGAGGAGTTAAGTGGCACATGAGCTCTCTGCCTGACGGGGCAAGTTCCTGAGTGCCCAAGCTGGTGCCAGTATTAAAATTGGTATTAATAATGGTATTAATGTGCTAAAGACAAAGGAAGGCTATGGGCATCTGCTAGCAGCAATGATGGCAGTGGGACCTCACTGTATTCCCAGGGCCACAGCAGTAAACTACACTAGAAACTCCAGAGCTGTCCCAGACGTGTGCAGTGAATAAACAACCACCGCGCACCCAAATTGGAGTGGTCTGGCTCAGCCAGAATGCACTGGGATAAGCATGGGATTGTTATGGATGATGAGCAAAGTGGCAGCACCCAAAGGGCAAGCACAGGGCATATACCACAGCCTCTACCCCACATGGCTCAGCTCCAGGGCATGAGCTAGAGCCCACTGAGGACAATGCAGAGTTCATTGGAGTTTGGGGTCAGACCTACAGCCTCATCCCTGCAGACCCTTCTGCCTGCACAGACAGGAGCACACCCAGTGACCTGAAACCAGGGGATTCCTTCTGCCAGGGCTACGTGACCCTGCTAGCAACAGGTGCTTCTGTAACCACCAGCCTGGACTGGAGCAGCATCTCAGGGTTCGGGGTTTTCAACAGGGGAAAAGTTCAGAAGAAAGGCCTCAGGGTTATCTAGAGAGTCAGTGGGCACATCTACACGCGTGCATTTACTGCGCAGTAACTGAAATTATTGCGCAGTATGGGTGCGTGTCTACACATGCATGCCCGTACAGTGCAGTAAATATAGTGACTTACACCAGCTTGGGCATAAATTTGATACTTGCATCATGCAGGTATCAAATGTATGCCTGATTAGTTACTGTGCAGTAACGCACATATAGACAACTTACTGCGCAGTAACCCTGTGTGTGTGGACTGACTTGGGACTAGCTTTAGTCCCAAGTCAGTCCACACAGCGTTAATGCACTTTAATGTCTGCACATGTAGACACTGGTCTATTCCCACTTACTGTGTAGTAACTTTAAGCCGGCATAAATGCATGTGTAGACATGCCCAGTGTTTCCAACCCTTGTGCCTTTTTGTATCACAGTCACCTCCCTCCCTGCCTGGCTTGTCCCGGTTCATGTTGCAACTGGGTCATCAGACAAGGCGTGAAGCAAGGTGGGTAGGAAGATGCACAAACCCAAGCCAGTGAAAACAGATTCCCCTGAGTTTGGCTGCAGCATTTTGAGGCTTTGTGCCCTGAGCCCATGGCAGTCACTGTGCCTGTTGGATTCAGCAGCCTTTGGACCCAAAGCTGAGCCTGGAGTTAGCCCAAGCTATAATGTCCAGTCCTTTCAGTAGCCTGCACCCCAATCCCTGCTATCCAGAGGGTCCCCACTGCTGTCGGGGTCAGAGGCACAGAGCAATGAAGAGCTGTGACCAAGTTCGGCGTGATTGAGAGCAGGGCGCTGTGCCCTGGGCACTGAGGGCCCTCTCTCTGGAGTCCAGCAGCAGGGCTTGGGCTTACGGAGCCAAGAGCAGGGGCTCCTGGGGCTTCAGGAAAGGTCTACCCCTTTGGCAAGGAGCAGCAGCTCGTCTGTATATCATGCCTAGCAGCCAGGCACAGGAAGGGGACAAGGAGCGTCCCTCTTGCCTGAGTAACACACACATACACACACCCCCTTCAATGATATGCTAAGGGAACCTCCCTCTGGCCTGAATAATATACACACATGCATGCACACACACACGGGCGACTGGTGCTGCCTTAGTCAGGGGGGGCATGTGCCCCCCCTGCAACCAGTCCTGCTGACTGGAGTAGGGGGGTCCCCCGTGGGCGATCCTGTGGTCCTGGTGGGGGTATGGCCCCGCAGGTGATCCTGCAGTCTGGTGGGGGGCTCCCCTGAGCAATCCCATGACAGCCGATTGCTGTGGCCAATCACTGCCCTCACTGCATCCACTTCCAGGAGTGGCTGCAGCCGCTTCTGGGAGCGAGCACCAGCCAATTGCTGCAGCTGCTCCCAAAAGGGGCCGCAGCCACTCCCAAAAGCAGCTGCAGTGAGCATAGCGACCAGCCAGTGCTTGCAAGTGAGGCACTGGCATTCCTGCCTGCCCCCTGCCCATCACCTAAGCAGCGAGTGCGACCGTCAGGGGGTGCACCGGCGCTCTCAGGGGTACACGTGCACCCCCATGCACCCCTTACACATTGCCACTGCACACACACGTCCTTCAGTGATGGATTCAAGGAAACTCTTGGCCTGAATAACACGTGTGTGCACACACACACATACACACATCCTTCAACGATGTGCTCAGGAACCTCCCTCTGGCCTGAATAACACACACGCACACTCATATACACACAAACATTCTTCAATGCTATACTCAGGGCACCTCCCTCTGACCTGAGTCCTACACACACACACTTTTTTTTTTTGGTTGATTGCACCACTCCTGGAAGCACTGTAATACCAGGCTGATGCATGGAGTGGATGGAGCAAGCTCCAGTTCCACCTCCCAACACCAAAAACCTGCTCAATACAGACCTCCTATGGAGGACATACTAGGGACAACCACCTGGGGAGCCCGCCTACATGGTCATGGTGCTTCCCCTGCCCACACACCCACACACACCCCCCACTCAGGGAACCTCCTTCTGCCCTGAATACTGCACACACCCACACACACACACACTGAACATGGACAGGGAGCCAGGAGGGGAGGGAATGAACAGCCAAGCCACGAGGGAGCAGGGAAGGCCTCAGCACTCAGTTCTTACCTGGGTCACGGTCTCTCCTCCACTCTGTTCTGGAGGCACCAGGCCCTCATCTCTTTTTATGCGCTGGCAGAGAGTGTCAGAGAGGAGAAATCCCCGGCCAAGGAAGTGGCTTAGTGTATGGCGGGGAGGGTGTGGATTGGGAACAGGGCCTGTTTTGAAACACCGGTACTCCCGTAGGTGTGAAGCACAACATCACTGCAGGTGCAGAGCAACTCCCGCCAGGACTTCCCAATGGGATTTCCAGGCCCAGTCAGAACCAGGAAACAGCCCGGGTTGCAATGAAAAAACTGCTCATCCTGCACAATGCAGGGCATTCCTTGCATGATGTCCCTGCAGGACGAGGAAGTGGGAAACTGCGGTCCTTTCATGCAGGGACCTTTCGACACTCCTAGAAGGGATGGTGGGATGGGGCGGAGGGGCCAGATTCCCCCCTGATTTCTGTCAACCAAACTCCCCCAGGGGGAATCTCTCACCTCGCCAGTTGTTTTCACCCCCAGGAATGTGGGAGTGGACATGGCACTGCTTTGCCCTGCTTGGCCCCGGATGCTCCCAGCTCCTTGCACATCAGGCCATGCACCCATGTAATAAAGAAGGAGGCTTCTGCTGTTCATGGCTGTGATGGTCTCGCGCCAGAAGGCGGCAGCAGAAACCCACAAAAATTTCCCTTCTCCAAGTGACTGCAGTACGACAGAACTCGCACCTAGCCTTCACTGCCGGGCAGGACTCACCTGACCGGTCCCGCCAGCTGCCTCCCAGGGCCCACACCAGTTTCCCTGCAGAGGGTAGGAGTCTTCCCATGAGCAGAAGGATCCTGCTTGGAGGTGGGGTTGCACTAGGTGGGTACTGGAAGGCCTGGACAGCCTCACTTTTGTCTGAGCCTGGATCTTAGACTCCAGGTCAGGTCTAGGTCTGAGACAAAACTATGCAGCTGTTTCCAGTCGCAGTTCTGGCTCACCCCTGTGATACTGGGATAAGTCATTAAAGGGGGTGCCTTGCTCCTTGAGACTGACAGCGTTCATATACAGAAGGGATGAGTATGAGAATGATAGATAGATAGATAGATCAATCAATCAATCGGTCGATCGATCAATCGATCCTCCAAAGACCTGCTACTGCGGTCACCAGGGGCTGGCATAGCATCCCCAGGCATCGTGGTGCACAGTGCTCTCTGGTTGCCTCAGAGGTCCCTTCTGGGTGGGCAAACAGAGGCTGAGAGACTCCAGGGTCATGAATCCAGCACCTTTCAGGGTCCAAAGGATCCCAGCCCCTGGAGGACTCAGCCCTTTAGCTGGGAGAGCCCTGGTGCACACCGCCGTGTAGGGAGGATGGGGGATGTGAAGCCTGCCCCAGGTTAGAGGATGGGCAGGATGTGGGAGGAGCTGGACCAAAGCAGTTACTGGGGAGCCTCTGATCTGAGCTGCTCAGCTCCAGGAAACGGGTCCAGCTTTCCCCAGCATGTCGCCCCTCCAAAGAGGGGCAGGAGGGAGGGGAACCATTGTGCGTAAGGCACTGACCCGGCCCTCAGAGGGCTCAAGCCTGCCACCAGCTGGTCACTTCCTAGCACTATGCTTCAGTTTTTCCACTAGAGAAGAAGGGGAGGCTGGGAGGGGGGATTCGTGCTGACTGCAGGCCCCAGAGGACACAGGGATGGGGAACCTCCTCGGTCACTACTCCAAACCTACCTGCATGGCCATCTCAGTCTAAACAGTATCTCAGACAGGGAGCGGCAACCTCCAGCCAGTAATGCAGCATTCCTCCCTGCTGCAAACAGGATGGGCCCTGCCCTGGGAGATCCCCAGCCCTGCTGGTGAACACTTCCCCAACCAGCACCGGCGCCAGCAGCGGGGCCAACGCTCCTCCACGTGGCATGGCTTTGCAGAGCCCCCATCCCAGCCTGCAGCAGTGCAGCCACCCCTTGAAGCCCCCTGCTCCCCAGCAAGTGTCAGGGGAACCTGCAGGACTCACCCCACATCACGGGGAGGCGCCCTGTGCCCAGGAGGCAGGACCAGACCCTGGAGATGGTGAATGAGGCCACTGCAAGCTGTGGGGCAGTGCCCGGGTCAGAGGTCTCCCCACCCCGGCAGAGAAGTGGCTGTGATGGATTCCCCTGCAGACACAGCAGCTGGAGGCTCTGGCCCTGGAGTGCCCTCACTAGGGTGGCAGGGAGGGGCCATGCGTCCTTTCCCCCTAAGAGCATCCCCTGGCACTAGGCTGGCCTCACCATTTGCCCCTGGATGGGTCTCAGCCTTCCCCGGCTGGCATGGACAGCTGCATGGAGGAAATTAGTCGGGTCCAACCTGGGCAGGGCAAGAAGCCTGGTTTATTGGTCTCACGGGCAGTCTGCTGCCCGATCCAGCCCCACCTGCCAAGGCTCCACCTTATGACTGTGCAAGGGGAAGCATTCTGCCTCCGTTTACCGGGGTGACACCTCAGGCATCTCTTGCCACATTGTTCATCACTGGGTTTCCTCCAGTCCAGCCCAGGAAGGGTTAGCATCTGCAAACCCATGCTCCTCCCAAAGTGCTCTTCCTCTCTCTCTGTCACTTTCCAGTCAATAAGGGCCTCCAAATCAAGCTCCTTTCCCCATGGTGGCTTGGGCCAGACTGCTCTGCTCTGCCTAGGAGCTGGGCTCATTTGGCCTTCATCCTTGCCCAGCTCTGTTGAAAGTCCTGCCCCAATTCTGGATATGCAGCACTTGGAAACCTCAGTGCCCGAGGCTCGTGCATGGGTTAGGAAACTCCTTTCCCACTCATCAGTGCAGTCAGGAGCACAGGACCCACTTCAACAGCTGCAGAAGCTGGAGCTGCTGTGTGGATGAGGCATGCTGCTTAATTGTCAGCAGGTGGATCTGCTTCACAGCCTAGCTACAGGTGCAGGTAAAAGCTCAGCTCTCAGGCAGGTCAGCTCCATAGGAGGTCCCCTGTGGAGCACGGCTCCTCTCCTTTTCTTTGATGCTGCATCTTTCAAGCAGATACTCCCCTTATGCCCTCAGAAGCAAAACCAGGGCAGCTGTGGCCAGAGCATGTGTAAGTCTTATTGCCTGCAGAGTTTTTCTGCAAGAAAACAGGGGCTCTTGAGTGCCTCTGGCAAGAATAAAAGATCAAGACAGTTTGTTATTTTTGAGGCTTACCAAAGGAAAGGGCTGAGGGCAACCACTAGTCTAGCTTATAGATCTTAAACCATCCTACCAGCCCAGCAGGGAGAAGAAAGGGTGATGCTGTGAATTAAGGCTCAGCACAAGACTTGACTGAGGGAGTGATGCTGGAATCCAGAGCAGGAGGAAGCATGGAAGGCGTTGAAGCAACAATTAGTACGTTGAACCTGTATTAAAATTCTATACCCTTGGGAAACCAGTACAGATATCAAGAGATGCTTCACAGTTGGGATTAGGTGCTGTCTTGAGGAACTGGTTTCTCCTGATACTGGGGGGGCACCAGTGGCCAATTGCTGACCGCAGGGAGTCCCCCAGCGGCCACTTGTCAAAACCAGAAGTGCTGCCAGCACTTCTCTCAGCGCCCCCACAATCTCAGGGGGCACCAGCCATTGCCCCCCGACACTCCACCTGGCAAGGGCCAATCTCAGGGGGGGCACATGCCCCCCCCATGCCCCTGCTATGCATTGCCTATGGGTGCTGTGCTACTACAGAATTTTGACAACCAATGGCAAGCCATTGCTTATCTCTGACTGAGGCAAAAAGCAGGTATGCACAGATTGAGAAAGAGTCATTAGGAATTTTGTTTGCATGCCAGAGATTCAGTCAATATATTTACAGGCAGAAAGTGGGTGTAATAACAGACCACAAGCCCTTGATAGCACTGTTTCACAAGCCTCTGAATGACTGTACCTTCAGGATAAAAAGAATGATGATTAAGCTGCAGAAGTATGACTTAGTTGTGAACTACACACCTGGTCAGTTTACAGCAGATGTGCTGTCCAGGGCAATAGCCTCTACTGGACAAGCAGAAAAGACCTCCGAGACACAGATGCAAGCCTGTGGTGACTTGATTCTTAGCTCACTTCTGATCAGAGACAGGAGGCTACAACACATGAAAGAAGAAACTGAGAAGGACCACTCATTAGGGATCCTGAAAGAAATGACAATTTCTGCTTGGCCAGAGGACATAAGCACCTGTGACTTGAGCATGCGGGACTAATGGAATTGCCAACATGAACTTTCAGTCATTGAAGGAGTTATTTTCAAGGACAGTAAAGTCATGGACCCTCCAAAGAAGAATGCTACAGAAGATCCATGAGGGGCACTTAGGTATTGAGAAATGCAAGAAGAGAGCAAGGGAGGTGACGTATTGGCCAAGGATCAATCAGGACATTGCTAATACAGTTGAAAACTGTTTCATTTGCTTGAAATTCAGACCCTGCCGGTAGGCAAAACCTCTAAAGCCTCATCCTGTTCCACACTAGGCCTATGAGAGGGTGGGCACCCATCTCTTTACATGGGACTCCAGGGTGTATTTAATAGTTACTGATTATTACTCTTTGTATCCAGAAAGCTATACACTGCAATGTATCAGCAGTCGCTCAGTGATAGCTTGCTTGAAGGCCATATTTGCAAGGCTTGGACTTCCAGATGAAGGATTCAGTGATAATGGGCCACAGTTCTCCAGTGCAGAGTTCAGGCAATTTGCCATGGACTCAGATTTTCATCACAGCACATCAAGTCCAAATTATCCCCAATCGAATGGACTTGCAGAACGAACCCTTCAGACAGTAAAAAACCTAATGAAAAAAAAGCATTGGACAGTGGAGGTGATATATATAAAGCACTACTGGCTTATCGTAGCACACCTCTGGACAATGGCTGGTCTCCAGAAGAGTTGTTAATGGGCTGGTGGGTAGGGTCAATTCTGCCCGTTACTAACACCTAATTGGAAAATCCTAACACTGTAGCCATAAGGAGAAAGAAAGACCAGAAGAGGAAACAGAAATTCTACTTTGATACAAGAGCTCGTGAGCTTTCACTACTAAAGCCAGGTGATAGAGTTTGTCTGAGGAATTACTTGTCGAGATCATGGGACCAGCAGGGTACAGTGAAACAGCTGGTGCACTCACGGTCCTATCTAATCCAGACAGACCAAGGGGGCATGCTTTGACATAATGGAAAAGACCTACTCGTTAGGCCTGTGTGAAGCAGCTAGTATGCGCTTCGGATTCGGCCAGTTCAGGGGACAGTGATTCAATTAGGTTTTGGTGATTTGAATCACTGTCCCGAATCAGTTTGGTCAAATCTGATTCAGAGATTCGGCTGCTGCCGAATCTCCGAATCTCCCAGACCCATCCAGATGGCAATGGCTGCCCTG